TGCCCTACCACTAGAAATAGCACACTGCTTGGATGGCTTAAGAGACTGATCAGGCAGAATACAAAGATCTTCCATACAACTGTTAAGTTTGTACCCATCATAATTATACTCATAATTAAAACTGTACTGTCCAATATCCATTAACTTGAACTTATTATACCTTAATGTCATATAGAATTTATTCAACACACCATCCTGTGGCTCAGTGTTAAGTCTGAAGACTTATAATGATAAAAACTTGGTTTCAATACCTGTGGTGAGCACAGCATAAATAGCCCATTGTGTGGCTTTGTGCTTAAGAACAAAACAAATAAAACATATATTTGCTCAACTCGCAAAACAAATCCTTCTGTAAAGCAGCAGGATCTTTCCCACAGTCAGCAACACCAAACTTTAATATCAGGAAAAGTTAAATAATCTATTGACCACTCCTTCATCTATGTCATGGATATGAATCAAAAAAAGCAAAGGTCCTAACACTGAGCCCTGAAATACCCCATTTGTGAATGAAGCTTCGCTAACCTCCATTTATAACAACCCTCTATTTTCTTCCATCTAGTCAGTTTTCTATCCAATGAGCTAATCTATACTCTACACCATTTGAGATATATTTTTTTAACAAGCCTTTCAGTAATTCTGCTGCAGCAGTTGTAGTTGTGACCAGCTGAAACTGCAAGTGCATAACTCACAAAACTGAAGGAGGAGAGAAGATAAATAAAATAATTTTTAACTTCCCACAAATGAGAATGAAAGTGGTAAAGAACAGTGTAATTAAAATAGAAAAATTAAGAAAGTAAAAACTTGTATACAAGTGAATCAAACCACGAGCAAAAACAGTGGTTAAGAGCTGCAAGATTAGAGAGGGTACTAGCTATAATAGGGGTTGTGTTGCACTCCTATTGGTGGAGGATTGCTGCATAATCATTTGCATGTTAGTATGGAAAGATAAGTTGGAGTATCAAGGCTAGTGGCAAGTGAAAATTTGCATTGATAGAGGGCAGAATAAGTCAAGAAAGCTTTTTGTGAGTGGAGGTAAGATATTGGATCAGAATTGTCATTACTCCTTACTTCCACATGCAGCAAAACATCAAACAAATTGAGCAATATCACTAGCGCCCAAAAGTTCCCCAGTCTCTGTCCTACCAGCCATTTCTTTATTAAAATTTAAAAATAATCTCATATAGCATTGTTCCTAGTAACTTCCCTAACCAATTGGTAAAAAAAAATTCATCCTGAACAGTTTTTAAAAATCTGTCTTCCTCATAACTTGACTCAAAGATTTCCCAATCTATATACCTTAAATTAATTATGACCTCTTTAAAAGTTGAATTCTTTATCCCACTGTAAACTTTCTCATTAATTTCATCAGTTTCATCTAGTGGTCTGTAACAACTTCCAACCACTTTATAACCACTAACAGAAACCCAAACAGGTTCAACTTGAAGTGGCTCACATATCCACTCCTTAACCTTCAGAAAAACAGATACTAACATTTAGTCATACCAAGGTTTCTTACATTAAATATTATATAAATATACTTGTCAAATAATATTAATCAATAGGACTGAGTATGCATAATTACTATTATAAAGATTATACTATCAAAAACTGTTTTGTAATGGTTTTGGATGATAACAGAAGTTATGCCTTCATATAAACAGAAGGAATTTTTTTTTTGCACTTATTGTTAAACATGTTTGTTTCTGAATGTTTCAGCTACAGAAGAGTCAGTATAATCAGGAAAACTCTGAGTATGGATCCCTCTTACCTTACTTGTATGAATTTAAAATCTCTAATTTATTATCAAAGATTGAAATTGATGTGTAAAGTAAATATTGCAAAATTTTTTATAAGTGTACAGAAATATACTATACATAGACTCAAAGTAAGAAACATGCAATTAACTGGATAATCAGAAAAATTTGACCACTGAAATAATAGTGCCAGTATTGGGCTTCATGTATATGTGTTTTTTACCCTGTTTTACTCATATGCCTTGTGATAGTCCTATATTAAATAGACAATACAAAATTTAATGCTACCAAATCTGATCACACGTTTGTTACCAGTTCCTTTTATTAGAAAAACAAGGAGCTCATCCTCAACATGGTTACATGATCATTGCTGTAAACAAGAACTTCGCTATCAATAACTTAACCCGGTGTCTTCTCACAGATTCTTTTACCACCAGGGTATCACCGACCTCAAAACTTCTGCCAGCTGCAAAGCTTGCAGCTGGCAGTATAAACAGTAGTGTTTAAGTAAGGAATAAAAAATCATTTTTTTTACAAAAAAAAACTTGCTTTTAAAGAGCATGCAATAATAATGGTAAGCATCTCCCTTGCTGAACTGTTAACATATTTACAACTGTTATTACTTAAACACTACTACTTACAAGGCACTGATAATCTAACTTATAACAGTAACATATTTTGATAGTAAAGGTCTGAAATGTCCTGAAATAGTATACTTAGTGTAAATTGTATCAAATGGATTGAAATATTTACAAAATAATTTTAATTCCTAAATAACTATTATCTGTCAAAGATCATAAAAATATCAGTTTTCAACTCCATAAGTTCTAGCATGAGTTCAATTTCACTATTATATAACAAGAGCAATAATTCCTTATTACTACAGTATACTTTAAGAGTTTTATATCAGAATATTACAATAGAAAATAAAGAATTATCTCAAAGATTTGCAATGTAATTAACATAAATGGGGTATCTCAGAATAATGGTGGTTATTAACATCTTATAATCCTGATTCTCATCTGGTAATATAAAGAAAAAGACAAAATGGGCAATATAAATATTAAAATTTTCCATACCTGAAAACTTACTCCTCTGCACACAACAGCTATTCCTTGTACATCTGCCTTTAAGATTTTGCTCGTGCACTAGCCTTGAACTCTCTCTCACCTAAGGCATGTGTTTTAAAACAAATTATGCTAGTTCATGATGTTATCATCATGCTACAATATCCTTCCACCAATAGGAGAGCAACACATTCTCCAGAGGCACATGAACTTGAAATTAACATCATGAGATAAGAATAATGTGCACTGATATTGAGGAGGAAGGGTGGGAAGGTCTGCAGAGAAATAAATATGCATCAGAAATACTTATTCAGGTAAAGAAAATGTTATTGTCCAAAACAATATTCTTAAATTGAATATGTATTTCCAATACATATTGACCTCTCTTTTCACAACAGCTAGAATCCCACATTAAAGTGGTGGAGGGGCAACTGCAATTGTGAAAATGTAGACAAGATCCCTTCAGAGAAGGTGACTGAAGGGAAAAGTCAATGCCATGTCCCTATAATGGGGGCTAGCTAGAGAGACAACCACATCCAACTCATGCAGGGTATATTTTTCATCTGGATGGAAATATGAAAGGAGGAAGGCAGAGCCACTGTGTCACATGGATGGATGGAAAAGTATATGACCAGAACTGTTAAGCTGGACATGAGGTTTAGTATGTTTAAGGCAATGATCAGACTGCACAGTTTAGTACATGTTCTGTTGTATCATTTTCTCACCATACATTACAGGAACAGAGATGAAGATCCTTCCTGTCTCAGGCACTTTACATCCTCTGGTTGGCCAAACCATCAGAAAATTGGCATATTGGTAAGGATCTCTCATGCTCCACTCAACAACCAAAGAGGGAGGAATTCCCATTGGAGAAATACCGGAATGGTAAATGGACCCAACTGAACCTATCTACCACAAAAGCCATTTGCTGGAGAAAGTGCAGTGGCTTACCACAAAACATAATTTATATATCACCTTAGTGATCTTACAGAAAACCCATCTCAAGCATGGGCACAATTGGAGCCAAGGTGAATGGGTTTAACACTTTCTGTTACCCCTGACTCAATGCAATTTTAGGGAAGTAATTATCCCCTGTAGGGCAACATCCATTATTGTGTGAATTTCAAGAAGCAAATCATAGAAGAGTAGAAATGGGTAAGAAAGTAAAAGAGGTACTTATCCATAAAAATAGTGAGTATACTGGAGAATGATGACTGGAGGTAGGCAATATCCTGAGAGAGATAAAACTGCTTAATGTTGGAGGTAATGGGAGATACAAGTGTTGGGCATAGCCCATACTCCAGACTGGAAAATCTTGTCCAAGGGTCATTGAAAATGCAAGGTCAGAGAGTGAGTCAAGAGGAGGATTTAATGCTATGAGACAGCCTGTAAACAACTCCACCCAAGAAGGAATATAGGATCTGGATGAGTAGATGAATCCATCCAGTAAGCATAGAGGACAAGAAATTCTTGGAAGAAAAGGGATTCCAAGGCATGAATAAACACTTGCTGGAACTATGAAATGAAGCTGTGTATACTAAACTATAACACTCAACCATTCAAACTGGACACAAAAGACACTCAGGATCCATAAGAACATAAAGTGCCAAGATCAATGGAAGAAAAGAAATGATAACTTTCCTAAACTGCTTAAGTTTTAGGAAGAAACAATTGGTCAGGGAATAAGTTCAAGGAAGATCTGTGAAACAAAGTACAGGAGGCATCCAATGCATGATGACCACAAGCAAGAAGAAAAAAATAGGTTTCATGACAGAGATGGTATAATGAGCAAATGAACAAGGGAAAATTGGTTCAAATGGTGCCTGGATAAGAGTGTGTAGAGCCACATTAAAATTCCAGTTGAGCAAAAGAATCAAATGAGGAGGACAGTGAATGAAGGAGGACTGGAACAAGGTAAGAAAAAAAAAAACAGGTGAGGAAAGGACCGAACCATAGCAAAAAAAGTCGAAGGATAATCAAAAAGTCTATCTAATATTCTGCTTTGGTAGAAACCAACAATCTTCAGTCAAAAAAACCAGATAAAGAAGGCCAAAAAGGTGGGCAAAAGGAGGAGAGAGTGGCAGATGGACAAGCAGTGAAAAAGACACCACTTTCATTGATAGACAGAGAGAGCAGAAAAGTGACACAAATGTGATAAAAGAAGATCTATACTGTATGAGAAACCTGATCAATGCACAAGGGACCAGTCTAATCCCACCTGAAGACAAAGGAACAACAATCCCAGATGAAAGAGAGACATATAAGGTTGTAGCAGGAGGAATTTGGACTGAAGCAAATGAAGAGGTTCCCTGGACACCATTTGGTGAAGAAAGAGAAATCAAGACTGAGCTGGTCAAAAGGGGGGTATTGTAAGGATCTGATATGGAGTGTCATGAATCAAAGCCAAGATGCATGTGAGAAGGCAAAGAGAAGGGTATACATACAGAAAAAGATGAGACCAGTCCTGGCTGACGGCATCAACCAGCACAGCCACTAGCTGAGGTATCTGGGACTATAAGAGTGGAAGTTTGGAATTGAGAGGAGTGGCAAAGCCATCAATTACTGACATGTCCAACACAAATGAGATCCATTGAAAGACCTGAGGATGGTGGGACCATTCTGTATGAGGAATCCTGCCTGGTCAAGAAAGACAATTTGCCAACAAGTTCAAAGCCCCCAGACATGACAGGCAGTTAAATGATCCCAATGTAAGTGGGCTCAAAATCCAGAGTGCAAAAGCAAAGGTCCCTAGAACAAGTCTCACCTTGATAATTGACTTGGGAAACAAAGGTAGAATTGTTGGAGTGGATCATAACCAGGTGACCCACAAATCAAGAGAGAAAATAGAAACATGCATGATGTGTGGCCAAAAGTTCCAGGACATTAATATTTTAAGTACACTCCACCTGTGACCAAACCTTTGAGGCTGTCTGGTTTTGGACTGGAGTCAACTCACCATGTATGATATGATGTTCTCTAGCCTCACTACATCTATAGCACTTCAATAAACTTGATGCAGGTTCTGGACTGTGCTTATATATTCAGCCCATTTTTGCAACACTTCCCTTCCCCTCCTTTCAGGGTGAAGATAGTACCCTGGTAGAGACAAGGTGTGGTCTCCCATGGGTGTGCCCCTATAATGTTTAATGGTATAGGGTATCACACTAAGTGGGTTCTCTTCAGGCACCTCTTGATGGGGACTCATCTAGGAAAAATTTTGCATTGGTCCCCCACCACTTCAATGTGGGATTCTAGCTATATGTGAGTGGAGGGTTACATATTGTATTGGAAGTTAATATTTTCCAAAACTGAAAATATATTTCTGATTGATGCTCACCACTTCCCATCATTCCTCCTCAATTTTGGTGCACCTTACTTTCTTGCCTAATCTCAAAGTGATGATTGAACAATCAGTATAGAAGTAGCCAGCTGTACTACGAGACACTGTCACACTTCTATTGGTGGAGGGTTGTTGCATACTACAATGCAACAATATCACGTGGAAACACATGAGGTCAGGTGGGAGTCTCAAGACTAGTGGTAAGCAAAAAACGTTCACCTATAGAGGGCAGAACTGAACCAAGAAAGCTATATGTGAGAGAAGATTACTTATTGAATTGGAAAATTAATGTACACTCTAATTTAAGAAAATTAAAATGTTGCTACAGTTAGAATAGTGATCTTTAACCTCTTCCACTTAAAGCAACATATCTATAATGTATATCTGTCTGTCACAAAAATATTCCAGCTTTCCAGCCTCTGACCACCACAAAACATTCAAAGGGTTTTAGAGTATACTCCAAGGGAATTCTAAAACATCCCAAACTTCATTCATTTTTTCAAGCATTTCAGCAATTCTAATTTCCCCTCCTTACTACTGCCTTAGTGACAGCAAAAGAGGCACATGCATAACATCCCATCATCCATGTGAAATCAACAAAATAAACACTACAGATGGTATTTGGCTGTTATCTTTGTTAGTATATATAACATAATAATGTAGTAAAATGGTTAGTGTGAATGTTTTATGTTTTTTAAATATATAAATGAATACATTGGAATTATTATTTATTATATCTATTAGTATAAGGCTTTATTAATTTGTTACTACATACATGCACATCATGAAAGATAAACTTACTTTGTTGTAACACAGAACTCCAAGAATTGCGATGAACATCCCAAATAGGTTGAATAGTGTCACTGGATTACGCAGCAGGAACAAGGAAATAGTTATAACACAGATTCGTTTTGTAGCATTACAGACAGAGTAGGTCAGTGGTGACACCAACGACAAAAGACTGAATGCAATTACATTTTGGACAAAGTTTAGAAATCCATTCAAGAAGAGCAAAAAACACATGACAAATGTGTCTGAATTTTGTAACTGAAAAAAAAAAAACTGCAATAAACAAGGATTCAGAAACCTAAACTTTCAGTGTAAAATTACATACCATATGCAGATGGTAAAAATCTATATTGGGATCGTTTTGAAATAGAAGGATACAATTAATATCCTAATAACCTTAAACAAAGAATACAATAGTCATCATTTAAGCTAAAACAAAATAAATGTAAAGCAAAATATATGCATGACATTACACAAAATTTACAGAAGATTCTTATGAAAATTTTAAATAGTCTAATCTTTTTAACCTCTTCACAAAGAGTAGATATAAAGTAGAATAAAAAAATCTCAATTAAATCACTGAAAATGTCCAAATCAAATTGGATACACTGCAACTAAATATGTAACAAAGTTTTCAAACTCTCTAATGACAACATTGTATTCTAATTCTTGGTATTAAAGAGTGACTTAGTTTTGTGCAGTGCTTCAAGCAAACTCAGGTCACTGAAAGACTCAAAAATTTCATTCATAGAATAAAATGTATAAAAAAAGGTAGAATAAAAAATTTGCATAACAGGTAGAAAGAATAATAATGGTTGGAGACAGCTTGAAGAAAAACTTTAATATAAGTTTAACATAACAGCAAATGTACGACGAGGTTTTGTCATCATGACCTTGTTGAAACATTGTACATTTGCTGTTATGTTAAACTTATATTAAAGTTTTTTTTCATTACCCATTCAAGCTGTGTCCAACCATTACTAGTCTCAAAGTGGGTTTCTCGTCATCGAAGGTAGAAAGAATGTTAATATTGTAAAAAAGTAAAAATTAGTAAACACAATCATTACAATTATAAATAAGTTACACTGTAATTAGGTGAAAACAACTAGGCAGTAGTAGTGTTTAACAATATATATGTAAAATCTAATTCAATGTTAATTACTATGGTACTCTTTGTAAGACTGACCAATAAATTTGAAATGATGATGAGTTATGATCTAAAACATATAATACTGATGAAGAACTGAAAAACTTAGTGATAAGATTAAACTGAATAATTTGTTGGGAACTTTTGCTAAAAGTTGAACACATTAAATCCTCATGAAATCTACCAAGTTTATTCTAACTGAAACCATACAGTTGAAAGAAAGCTTTTATAATTATTGGTCTTTTAAGACAACCTACTTTACATGCTTATTGTATATTCTCAAAATATTGTGGATAAAGGAATCAAGAGATTTATCTGATTATGAATCTGTCGTGAACTTGGCTTTTTCTTTCAATATTTGGTTTATTCTATTGTGACATTATTGGTAAGAAAACCACCAATAAGGCAAGTGAGTGATATAGCATATTGTCAGCCTTTCTTCTGGTATTTATTTTTTGAGGGAGACACAAAAACATAACTAAATGTATAAATTTACCAGATTTGCAGTTTCCAATATTTTTCTAAGGTCTATCACAAGCCAGAATGGAGAAAAGATAAACAGGGCCAGACGTGCAAGGATATGAAGAAGCCTTAAGTGATGGACACCTGTGTCATATAACACCTAAAAAAAACAATTTCAATGTTACTTAAATAAAACAAATTGCTGTTGCCTATTATTGTATATACACACACACACACATGTATATCCGTGATTGATAAAGTCCACTGAAAACAACATATCATATTCATATTCCTTGATACAAACCAACAAATAAAAATCAATCCTTCTCTCAGATTAAATAATTATTTGCTATTAAAATGGCAATACTACAGCAAATAGATCAGCATACAGAAGAAAATATTTTCCAGGATGTGAATGTTTAGTTAATGTTAAACAATATGCTGAATTGTAAATGTATCTAAATATCACTCCTTTAACATCTGATTGTTTAATATAAATATAGTAGTACTAAGATAAAACATTTTTAATAAACAAAATATCACACTCAGAACTGAGTAGAAAGCTTCAAGGATAAAACTAAGTAATCAACATACCTTTTTTGAATAAATGTTTTGGAGTGAAAACCAGAGTGTAGACAGCAAGGCACTTAATAGCCCAACATAATCAAAAGATAACTCTGTTATAGTTGCAATTGAAACACCAATAATTATAGGTAGTAGTGAACAATAGACCTAAAGAATAGAAAAGATAATGAATAATATTGGTCAGCAAGTTTATATTTAAATGTTTCGGGTCTAAAGACAATAACATCTACATGAATAAAACACTTCAACAAAACAGTTACAAAATCATATGGTTGTCATAACTTAACTAACTTTAATTAATATTACTGACACTAGTTTCTTTTTCCAGTAACCACTGATATATCAATATGAGCACTATCAAGTCAACATATTTGTGTTTTGAAAAAAAAAAGCCTTTTGTATTGCTTATAAGATTGTTTTCCATCTTAACACACAAATATTAGATAAGAACACGATATATATTCTGCATTTAACATTGAAAGTTTGCAAGAGAAACACCCAAGTTCACTCACCTCAAAGAAGTTCAAGTCACAGTTGTCACAATCCTCTGCTGGAAAGGTCATACCATCAATTTTTTGGGATACCAAGGGAATTTTACTATTTGATGATTTGAAAAGGGGTCAAACCATTACCCGAGATTACTATGCATCCTTAATCAACAATGTACATCAAGAAATTGAAGAAAACAGAAGAGGACTGCTCAAAAAAAAATTGTGCTCTTCCATCAGGACAATTTCCCAGCTCACAAACTGTGTGCTGCTATGAACTCTATCTATGATAACAGCTACAAGTTACTCAATCACCCCCTTACTGATCAGATTTAACCCAACTGACTTTTTTCTCTTCCCTGAGCTTAAAATCTTTCTTAAATGTTGAACATATCAGTCACGGATTGAGGACCAAGAATAAAGAGTTCTTTCATAAAGGCCTTAGAGCACTACTGGCACAAGAGACCAAGAAGAAGACTTCTTTCATAAAGGCCATAGAATACTACTGGCACAAGAGACCAAGAAGACTTCTTTCATAAAGGCCTTAGAGTACTACTGGAACAAGAGACCAAGAAGAAGACTTCTTTCATAAAGGCCTTAGAGCACTACTGGCACAAGAGACCACGAAGAAGACTTCTTTCATAAAAGCCTTAGAGCACTACTAGCACAAGGGACCAAGAAGAAGACTTCTTTCATAGAGGCCTTAGAGCACTACTGGCACAAGGGACCAAGAAGAAGACTTCTTTCATAAAGGCCTTAGAGTACTACTGGCACAAGAGACCAAGACGAAGACTTCTTTCATAAAGGCCTTAGAGTTCTACTGGCACAAGAGACCAAGAAGAAGACTTATGTTGAAAGACAAATTACAGTTGAACCAATTTACCTTTTCTTTATTGGTTGGGACACAAACTTTTTGAAAATCCTTCATATACGAGGTATTTCATTTTAGGATTTTTGCCCCAAAAGTACTATTATAAAAACACTCTAAAACCAAGCACATTTCCACTTTTTTTTTTATAGACTTTTGACTTTGAATTTAAAGATACAAGTACTTAATGACTTATATAATCAATTATTACTTTCCACAAAGCAGGGTAGCTGATTAGCATCTAATGATGTCATTAATGATTTAATAACAACAGAAAAAAGGAAAGGAAACATTATCTAACATTGTCCTTTATACAATTTTTGTTTCCTTAACAGGCACCCTCAGCTGGTAAAAATAGTAACTTTTATTTGCATATGATCTATTGTTTAGATTGCAATTTATTTTCATTGTTTACTTTTCATGTTTACGTATGTTTTCTAATTTAAAAAATTAATTTATGATCTCTGTTCACTTCAGTAATTAACAACTACCATCTGGTAACTGGTTCAACTGATTCATCAGCACAATGACTGGTTACTGATTAGTTGTTGTTTCATCAGTACACCTACAAAATTTACTTCAAGTGTTTTATTTTACAGAAAAGCTTCAACAGAGCTAATGATTTCTTGATAAAAAAAAATAACCACTTGGTTTCCTCCAGTTTTTTAAGTTAACAAAATAAATTACCAATTTTTAAGAGTTCATCATATCTGATCTCTGTATTGTGGGTGCACAATGGCCTAATCAGCTCAAGTAGTGAATGGACTCAACTGCTCCTACTAAAGACAAGATGCTGAAATGTTCTTCAATGCATTACACATGTTGATATGAAAATTGGGACTGAAATACTTAACAGCAAAATTGTAAAATAAATGATTCGATTAAGTTTGATGCTTAATCACATGTGTTACCTTAAAGGGATCATACTTTACCATCTATGCAACTTATAAATGTCTGAAGGAAAGTTAACCTTTTCCTTCCCTAAAAATGTATTTCTCTCTTGCTATGAAGAATTTTTTGCATGCCACAGGTCTTGAACAAAGTCCCGCACCCCATGTATTAACATGAACTGTGTCAGCCTATGATAATATAACTGAAGATAATATAAATCAAAGTTCTAACTGAAATTTTTTAAATTTGATATTTTTCTTTCTCATAATCAAGAAAATTAAGAAAAGAGAGACTATACTTTGAATGGTAACAAAAGTTTAAAATAATAAGCACAAAAATGCCATTAATGCCTAAGAAAATCTTGGGCTGTGGTGATACAGTGACACAATATAAGTATCGTATTGTGAAGCCATGACATAATTGTATCGATATATCGTCCAATATGATACAATTTATGTATCTCCATAAATTATGAAACTCACATTAAAATATCACCCACTATAGCTAAGCAATCATGCAGTCTAACTTCACTTTTTCCTCTTAACTTCTTTGGACTTAACTTGTGCTCACCTGCCCCCTCCCCATATATACATTGCCAACTGAGGCCTAGAACTTTCTACAAACTACAAGACACTATAATGTAACAATACTCACTTAAGGCAACGAGAAAGATTCAGAAGGTTCGAGTAATATGACGTCAAATTACAACACTCGAACTACACACACACAACATACGACTCTTACTGAGTTACATAATAAAATTTGTCATAACTATTGCCTTTAAAATAATTACTTTTAACACTCTTGTTATGAAAAGTAAATAAACTAAATAATAATAATAAAATTAAATATTAGATCACTAAATAAACTAAATAATAACTGTTACACTAAACAGTCTTGTATATTCAACAACTGGGATTACTGCACAAGGAGGATGTGTTGCCCTCCTACTTGTGGAGGCTGTAGTCTGATGATGATTACTCATGGGTTGATGCAGTAAACATTCATCCATTATGCCGTAATTACGTTCTACAACAAGCAATGCTATCACTGTATATACTGTGCTTTTCTTGTTAGAAATGTATAGTGAGCCAATTAGTGTTCAGAAACATTACTAGCATTAGTGTAATGTTACACGATACTTATTATCTTAGAATGAGCCACATAAAAGTCATTTTCAAGGTGTCCCAGTGACACCTACATGTTCTAGAAATAATGGTAAGTTTAATTACCAGTTAAGTTGTTGTTCAATCTACTCACCTTAAATGACTGCTTTTCACCTAAAATGAACCTTGACAGCAGAACTACAAACAGAGGCATTGTTGCTTTGACTAAAAGAAAATAAATAAAACTTAAAACTAGATAAACAATATATTCTCAAGATTAATTTTAAACAAAATTCTGTATTGTTTGACAAAATTATTAACACCACCAATGACTTATTTAAATAATGAGGTATTAAATTTGTGTGTTAGCTATTGTAAATGAAAAGATGCTAAAAATCAGTACCACAAGTGATTATATAATGACGTATACATGTATCAGCAATATTATGATGCATTCAATAAAGACATCAGTTACATGTACTTGTGAATGATGTGTTGAAAGGTCAGATAGCATATACCATGGGTCTTGAGTATCATTTTTGAGAATGTTCTAATATAGATTGGCAAAGAGTATTCAAAATGTTTATTGTTAAGAAGAAAAATATCTTATATTTAACTAGCCATCATAATTATTGTTACTATGTAAGTTAACAGCTTTACCGTTAGTGATTCTCAAAATGAGAATAAATTACTACATAAAATACACTTGACTTTGTATGTTAAGGTTCTGTAAAACTGAGTATGCATAATGTGGTTGAACAATTATCTACATGTGTATATGAATTACATTTGATAAGCAGCAAGAGTGGAATATCAGAAATGGTTTAAGAACCATAGTGCAACTGAATGAATAATAATGATACTGTGTTTTTATTTCTATAATAAATCATTAAATTTTATCTCTTAAACAAGCTCCTGACTCATTGTTAATACTAAAATAATTCAGTGTAAGTGTATCATTTAATAAATGATGAAAGGAGTGGAATTTATTGTTTAAAATAGTTATAGAAATGTAAAGTTAGTGAAATTTACAATTTAAAATGGCTATAAAATTAAGTAGTTACTGAAATTTACAGTTTAAAATGACTATAAAATTCAGTAGTTACTGAAATTTACAGTGTAAAATGGGAGAAGTGTTATAAACTGGTAATGGGAATAAAACATAATCAGATGTATATGGGAGACAAAAAATTATATTTTTATACACCTCTGATTTCAAATCTGAAATAGATATATCAAAAAGAATATGCAAAACAAACTGTAGCTTACATGATTTTTATGACAAATACCAAGTATATTGGTTTCTAATGCTTTTTCAGCTTCTGGTATTTAAACCATAAACTATATATATAAATGGTGTTTCACAGAAACTTTTGTCTCTCACAATCCAGCCCAACTGAGGAGATCTGGTATTGAATGAAAGGCCTCTCAGGCAGTAATATGTGGGTGACAAAAGATAGATCAAAAATACTATTTTACACATCTCTGATTTTGAATAAGAAATGGATAAATTAAGAAGAATGTGAAAATAATATAAATATCTATAGCTTATGTAATTTTATCACAAATGTTAGGCATATGTGTAGTTTTCTTTAAATCAATAATATAAACATTTCGTAACTAGTGTTAAAAGTAATATGACCATTTTAACTTCAAAAACATCATAGCCTTTACAAGACATCAAACAATGTCATAAAACCATAAGACATTAGAGGTATGTATAGTTCTGTACAGTATCCCTTTTAAATACAAGTATATATTTTACTAAATATACACACATATACACATATGCATTTGTTTATCTGATTTTATTTTATTTTAAGATTAATAAAGATTTTAAATTATTCCATTTTAATCACATCTGTTCTAAATAATTTATACTACAAGTTCCATTTTGTTTCAAGTTTTCATTATAGTTTAGAAAAAAAGGATTTTTATGATCTATACATTATAAATTACAGTTTACTGAATTTCCATAAATATGCTCATGTTTTTTGCTCTCTATGTTAAAAACTAAATAGAGGAGAAAGAAAAAAATTATCTTCACCTCAGAGTAATTTATAGAAAACAAACTTTCTCTTTCCTTACCTCACAATAATATGTTTTAGTTTAAGTTTTTTAGAACAATATATTTTATTCTACATTTAGAGCTGAAATTTCTAGGTTTTATGTATGGTTTTTAAATGGTCCCCTTTACCTGTTTTGCATGATAGACTTCTGGTGATAGACTTGACATAAAATTTGTGAAATTCCTAGTCGTTTACAGCTTGCAAATGAAAATATCAAAAATACTGTTACGACAGCGGAAGTCATGTGATGCTGGTAACACGTCACGAGTTTCTAGAAGGATCATGACTTTTCCTGGTAACTCTAGTATTTTTTAAGTGCCCTCTATTTTAGTATATAAGCCCAGCAAATAAAGCGGAGATAAAAAAGTGACGGCATAGATGATAGCAGGCAGATAGATATAGAGACAGATAATTGAGTCAAGCGAGCGGTAGTGACCATAAGTAAAGTGTGTGAATCATTGTGAATTATAGCATGTTTTTAAGTTAAAATGACTGTGGAAATTAAGTGTATTACAAAGTTTGTAACGAGAAAGAATAAACTAGTTTTAATTAAGAAAGGACTTGTATCGCTGAAGTTTCTCGAAAAGAATTTCTACAGGAAATTAACAAATGACCAGAGACATAATAATACATTTTTACTTGTAGAAATGCTATAGTCTTTTTATTTATAACAAAGAAAAGATTAAATATTTTTTTATAAACTTAGAAGTGACTTTTATTAATTTTTAGTCCTAAACATTTTGTGATGAGGCCTTTATATAGCTCTCAATTTGTCAAACATAAAGGCTTGAGCTCAGTTTCAGAAGAACACTTAAGTCATGCAGTAAAGGTCACTGACCTACTTCTTCATTGTGTACATTAAATGTGCAAGTAATACATGCACTTTTTTTAGTGTTGTACACTTTCAGGTGTGAATAACAGACTAACTGCATACAGTTCTTATACACATTTTTTACTTTTACATCAATGGAATTAACTTTTTTGTTATGTTACTGTAAGAGACAGATGATGTCAATAAGAAATTGTATAATGAAATCAGGTTTGTTACTAATAAGAATACTGATGAAATATTCATGGAAAGCTAATTTTAGGCACACAGTGAGAGGAAAAGTTTCCTGAAGTGATCCAGGATAGTTTTCTATACCAAAAAGTCAAGGATTCAACCAGAGAGAACATCAGTTTAGATTTATTGTTTATTAATTATGATGTGGTTACAACTAGTTCAAGAACTGCGTTTTTAAAATAAGTTCCAAGATCATGTCGGCCAGTTTTACTGCCAGAAGACAATACGAGACTGAAGGTGATGCAGAAATGTTTCACAATTTGTTTCCCTAATATGAAGACTTCTGACAGTTTGTTCCATTTACAATGGTTTTCACTAATCATGCTACCATTTAAATCACATGATCACACTATATTCATTGTTACCCCAATTCACAGAAGTTGTTGGGATCACAGTGATACAACAACTGTTAGATCAATACAATAATATACTATTAGCACATATACTCCTAACTCTACACTTATGATTAGTTACTGTTTATGCATATGAAGATATGGGTGTGAATATGATGTATTTGGATTTTCAGAAAGGATTCAATAAGATGGCACATAAGTCTTGCTAAAAAAAATGACCTCTACAAGTGTGGGGGATCTGTCAGCTCATTGGATATGAAATTGGCTGGATGGAAGAAAGCAGATGTTTGTTATTAATGAAGTTCAAACTTGATTAATGTCACAAGTGGTGAACCTCAGGGCTCAGTATCAAGACTTTTGCTCTTTTTGATTTACATCAATGACATAGATAAAAAAATAGCCAATAAATTATTCAGATTTATTGATATTAAGGTTTTGGGTGTTGCTGGCTGTGAAGAGGATGCTGCTGCTTTACAAAAAGATTCAGTATATTTGGTGAGTTGGGTGAATAAATGACAGATATCTTTTTATTATGATAAGTGCAAGATGATACATGTGGGTTATCATAAGTTGAATTATGAGTATAATTTTGATGGGAATAACCTTGATGTAGAGGTCCTGAGTATGTGCGCCATGCACTAAATGACACGATAAAATGTTAAAGTACACTTAGATAGCAGGTTTTTTGATTTTTGAAAAATTAAGAAATCTAAAAGGGTTTATGATAATAAGTTGACTGATAATGTTAAAACTAACAGCATAAATTATTTAGAGTACTTTAAGAATAAGCAAAGTCTTAAAACAAAAATGGGCATTTAATGCATGCTAATGACAAAGTTTTTGTTGAAAACTGAGATGGTTCAGCTTTCTTCTGTTTTTACAAGAATTTTACCAATATTTCTGATCCTGAGTAGTCTATATGAAATATACGAATTGACTTAAATCATGCAGATATTAATCCTTGGATGTTAAATAAGAAAACTTGTACATTAAAATAAAGTGTTTTCAGCAGTGTTCTAAAGGAGATCAAAGACCAGATATGCAATTCTCTTCCATTTTGGGTGAGTCAATAAGCAGAAGGTGGGCAGGTTCCTGAAGAATGAGGAGTTGCTAATGTTATTCCAGTTTTTATGGGAGTGGACAAGAGTTGGCCTGGAAATTATAGGACAATTATACTTGCTTCTGTAGTGATAAAGCAATTCTTGAGACATTGGTAGAACGCATGTTGCAAAATTATTTACAGAAATGTGATATCATAAAAGATAGTTAACATGAATTCATTAAAAGTAAATCTTGACTTATTTAATCTCTTTAAATTTCAATAAAGATTTTACTTGCTTTCAAGAAAATTAAAATGGCATTTATTTGGTGTACTTACATTTTCAAAACTCTTTTGATAAGGTCCCACATAGAAAACTGACCATGAAAATTAAATCAGTGAGGGATGGGGGAGGATTGGTAAATTGGATTAAAGAGTGGCTGGATAAGAAAAATCAAACAATTATTATTAATGGAGTGCAGTAAAATTGTTACTAGTGTTACGAGGCCTTAGTGAACAGTGCTTGGGGATTTGCTTTTTCTTATTTATGTTAATAATACTGATAGAAGTATTATTAGTAAGATTACTGACTACATTAAGTTCTTGGGTATTTCTAGCTATATTGAGGATGCTAAGATACAACAAGAATAGAACTAACTAAAAAGTTTGACAAATATCTGACATGTTACCTTTAATTCTAAGTGCAAGATAATATATTTGTATTATAATTTGGATCATGAATCTAATATAGATTGGAATCCACTCAAGAGAGAGACTGTGAAAAAGGATCCTGGTATATTGGTGGATAAGTCACACAATTCATCAAGGCAGTATTCTATTGCAAATGGTAAAGCTACTAGAAGAGGTAATGCCTTCTATATATAAATTACTAGATCCACTTCATTTGAAATACTGTGTACAGTTTGGTCTCCTTAACTTAGAAAGGATGTTGACTTATTGGAGACGGTTTAGAATCAGAGAAGAGCTTCTAGGAAGATTCCAGAATGGAAAGGGTTATCTTACAGAGACAAGTTAAGAACTCTATTTTCTCTTGTAGTGGAGAATGACACCTTATAAAAGTATAAGAGGGAAATCAACTGATTTCCTGAAAACTAAGGGGGGAAGGATTAAGTTTTTCTTTTTATTTTATAATTAGATGGGCAAAAACAGCCTTGAAGGACCAAATGGTTTATTGCTGTCTACAGCCAACAGCACATTTTAGTTGGCTGAATATATATATTTATTTATTTATAAATATACTGTCATGTCCATTTCATAGATCTAAACTTCATTGTTAGATACATAATATATATATATATATATATATATATATATATATT